AATAATAATAATAATAATAATAATAATAATAATAATAATAATAATAATAAGTGGAATTACTGGGACATAATAACAATTTGCTGTTTTGCTTCTGTAAGAATTGCTTTGCTAAGAATTGGAATTGTGTTTCTACCAGTGATCTCACCTCTGTGTTATCTTGTTTTTTTTGTATACCTCGATGCATGGAACAGAGTATGTCATGATTTGGCAGGGTTACATTAGGCAAATTCCTGGGTTGCTAAGCACCCAGCCCCTCTGTTGCTAACCTCTCAGCCCCCCTGCTCCTGCTCCTTGCTGCACAGCCAATGCAGGGTTACAAGGAAAGCATGGGCCAGAAGGCCCTGAATTGGGAATTCTGAAGATATAAAAGCATGCCATAACTTCGCCAATGTGTGGCTATTCCTCTCATGCATTGCATCTGTATGTTCTAGATATAGTCCCACCCAGTATTTTGTTTTTGGACATAAAATCTGCTTCTTTTTGCAAGCCTTGTCTCGAGTCTTACTCTCTTTGGCATCTCAGTGGTTTGGGGAAACTTCTGGGTAAGTTTCCCCAAGCCAACTTCAGTGGTTTGGGGAAACTTACAGATTCATGTATAATATTAATTCAAATCATGTTTTATAAAGCAGAGTAGCTGGTTTCATATATCACATTGATTCAAAATCAAACACAAAACATATTATTGATTTCAACAACTCACTTTTGAGAGCTCTCAAATAATTGAAAGCCAGTATTATTAATTTGTGGTCAAACTATTGAACAAGAAAGACAGAGATCTCTCAGCCCCAGAATTTTCTGGTGACTTTAAAATTAGACATTTTCTCTCAGCTCCAGTTACCTCACTGGCCTGATTTTCTAAAGAAAGGAGGATTAATCTGTGCTTTTTATAAATAAAATATGAAGCACATGATCTTCATCCAAAGCTGCATTCATTAATAAAATATGCATTTCATATTATAACAACTGGAGAAATGTATGGAAAATCCAAATAAATCCAAAAATAATGTTCTTTAGCATGTGCAAGAGATTGTCATTTTATTTATACTGTAAATACAGTGCAAAGAAACAAAGAATTTAGTTCTTTAAATCAATAAATCCTACCAGTGCTTCAGTAAGAAGTTCTGCTCTGTGTTCTGTAGAAAACTTAAGTGTTTCAGATTTTTTCCCACTTCCTTTACGAAATGTGAGGCTGAATTCTGTTCCTTGTCCTTTTCCAACAGGGCTGATGCTACAAATGTCTCCATATGGCCACTAAGTCAAGAAATCACAATCTGAGAATATTCCATTTTATCCCCACAGAATATGAATTCTTATATCAACATGTACTATTTCAAAAATTTCCCTAGCTTGATAACATAACATAATTTTTAATTAACTATTTCCTAAACATAAAGCAAATCTTATCCCAATGTCTAATATATTGCCATTATAAGCTACTAGCTTTAAAATGTAACTTCTTATAAGGTGAACATAGAGACAATTGTTCCTTCTGAAATGCTGATATGAATTGCAATTGCAGGCCATTAGAAAGATGATAAGTATTTCAAAGATTGCCATATTGTGCTGCAAACTCCAGACACCTATTATGAAATTTCAGGCTTCAAGTTAATATTTCCCAAAGATGTACAGCCAAGCAAAATAAATTTCTATTGCATTTATTAGTACTGTTAATATAATTGACTGTTCTATTTAATAAGAAAGACAGCTATGATTCAAGTTCTCAAATAACCAAAACATTTAATTCTAAATCTAATCATTGCAATCATTTTTTTAATTTTTACATATTTAGGCCCCTAACATCAGTCTCTTCAAGGATTTCATACTGGATATTTATTTGGTACCCAATCATGGTACCCTCATTATCCCAAATGTTTAATTATTATGAAAGATATTAACTTTTTCACAAGTTAATACAGAAATCTGATATGTATAACCTACACGTTTTAATTATAGTGGTGCTTAATTGTTTGTGAATCCTCTTATTTTTCTATAAATATGATATAAAATGTGATCTGTTCTCCATGCAAGTTCTAAAACTAGATAAAGAGAACCCAATATAATGAGTCAAAAAAAAATTATTGAAAAAAAATGATCTAAAGCCAGTTATTTGAGTGTGGCAAAAGTATTTGAACCTCTAGAATTATCAGTTTATTTGAAGTTGAAATTAAAGTCATGTGTTTCAATCAAGAAGATGATAATCATATGTGACTATATATGTGATATGTGACTGTAGGAGTTCTGCTTTATTTAAAGAATTGAATTCTGGGATTCATTATCAAAGTGTTATGACCTGAACAAATCATACTTCTGTTCTCCTCTGAAAAACAGGCTAAAAATATTATAAACCTCTTTCCAAAGAGTGTGGATTTCATAAATCCACTGTCAGGCAGACTACCTATAAATGGAGGCAATTCAACAACACTATTACCCTCTCCAAGAGTGGTCAACTAACCCAGATCATTCAAAGAACATGGCATGTAATATTCTAGGTTTCAGAAAACCCCAGAGCAACAAATAAGGAACTAAAAGCCTCTCTTGCATTGCTCAATACCAGTGTTCATTTAGACCATCATCAGATAAACATTGAACAAAAGCGGTAGGCATGGCAGGGTTGCAAAGATAAAGCCATTCTTCTCCAAAAAAGAATATTGCTGCTTGTTGACAGTTTGTGAAAGACTGCAGGGATAAGCCAGAAGGCTATGTGAAGAACGTTCTGTGACTGGATGAGACCAAAATAAAACTTTTTGACCTGAATGAAAGCATGATGTTTGGTGAAGAGCATTCCAGCGTAAGAATCTTATCCTATCTGTGATATGTGGTGGTATTACCATGGCAGGACAAGAAATAATGGTTGTAAAATAATTAAGGAGAGAAGAAACCTGGAACTAATGAGAAACTTCCTAACAGTGCGGACAATTAACTTAGCTTGCTGTCAGAAGTTGTGGGCGTTTCTTCACTTGAGGTTTTTAACAAGAAATTGGACAGACATTTGTTTGAAATAGTATAGAGCAGGGGTGTCAAAATCTGCCGGCCAAAACAAGCCTCCGTACGACCTGTTTTTGGCCAGCAGAGTGCTGCAGGCAGCCATGGAGGGCAAAAAAAAAAAAAAAGGCATGCAACCCCAGCTCCAGTAAAATACTGGAGGCTGTTGGGGCTGAAAATGGGGCAAAGGAGATTGTGTGTGGCCACATGCGCCCCCCGCGCCCCATTTTGGCCGGAAGGGTGCTGCAGGGAGCATCCATCCCATCTCGCCACCCTGCTCCCTGCCCCCCCCCCGAGAACTATAATGCTGACCCAGCCCTTGAAAATATCCAGTTTGACACCCCTGCTCTAGACCAATGTACAAGACTGATCAACAGTCATTACATTTTAGGCTCTGAAGTTCCAATTACTGCTGCCCAAGGTAGGCACGCACAAATTATTTAAAGCAAATGTTCACATATTTTTGCTACACACCTGAGGTATGTAGTTTTGGACCATTTTCCTCAATAAATAAGAATAATATTTTTCACTTATTTGTTTAATTGTCCCTTTATCTAGTTTTATGATTTGTGTGGAGAACTGATTCTTAGGCTATATTTGTGCAAAAATATTGGACGTTCAAAAGGATTCACAAACTTTTAAGCACCACTATGCATCTTCCAGCTCTACCTTCTGCAAAGGAAATATTAAGCCATCATGTACAAAATAAATTACAAATTATACTAATTTATAATCTATAAGGTTGCAAATAAACCTCACAAAGCAGGATGAAAACTAAGAAATTAAAGTTAATAAATATGAAGTATCACTTTAATAACTAGTAACTATTATCATCTAATATCATAAAACCAACTCAATCTTTTATCCATTTTAAGTAAATAGTTATCCAAGTCCATAATTCAGTATTCCTGCTTAGAGAAAAATGAGCTAAATGGTTATAAAATATATGCTGCTATTTTTCTAACTGAACATTTTTTTAAAGTTAATTATTCTGAATATATATCAAGCAACATGAATTCATTTTACCTTTATTAATTCATGCAACTGAGACAATATTCTTTTCATTCTCTGAGAGAATCACTTTCACACAGAAGATAAATACTAATTTTTGGGGAATATATTATTTCTCATTACCTGATTTGTAATTTCTAACGTATTAGGATTGTATGTTGTAATGGCATGAGTTCCAACTGAAAAGACTCGTTTATACCTATATTAGCAGGAGAAACAAGGATTTAGATTTACATAAAAATACACAGAATGTTACCTTTATTATTACCTTTACTGCTAGACTATATACTGTAAAGGTGTACAAATTATATTTTTATGTTCTATATATCTATTAAAGTATGCTGCTATGATTCATAAATCTTATAATAACCATAATATATGAGAACCAGTTTGGTATAGCGTTTAAATGCTGGCCTAGAAACCAAGTCTATGAGTTCTAGTGCCGCCTTAGGCATGAAAGACAGCTGGGTGAATTTGGGCCATTCATTCATTCTATCTCAGCTCAGCTCACCTCACAGAGCTGTTATGGGGAAAATAGGAGGAGGAAAGAGAATTATGTGTGTTTATTGCCTTGAGTTTCTTATAAAGTAATAAAGGTGGATTAAAAATCTAATGAGCAAAAATGTATTATGATATAGAAATTATACAATATTAAAATTATCACATTTATTGTACAATAAGTATATACTATAATAGTATATATAATATGATTTGTTTTAACTTAAGATAATATGTGAATCTGCCTATAGTGTAATGTTATTTCCAAAACAGGGCACTTTATTCAACAATCAGGGATAAAACAAACTTATAGATTAATATGAAAAAGAATATCTCATAAAAACAGTCAATAATGATGTGGAAAAAATGAAACAGAACATCAAGAGATGAGTCATTGAAGGAAAAAATAAATTGGATTTAACTAATAAACTTTTGGCAGTTATAGGAACATTCAAACTGAAAAACAAACTACAGCAATAAAATATAAATACAATTCAACAATAATTATTCAGTTAATGTAAACATTTCATACACAGATTTAAAACATATTTTTATTTTAATTTAGGCTGTGTATTGAAGCAGACGTGGACTAGAAATACAATATATATAATGCAATTCCTTTATATTTGCCTTAATAATTAGACATTCTAAGTTTTTTTAGTGCATGGGGATATTTGCGATCTTGTAAGGAGGTGGAAGAGGAGGATGACGAGGCGGAGAGGAAAAGGGAGAGGCAGGGGAAGGAAGAAGGGGAAGAAGAATGCACTTGAAATGAAGTACATATGTACTTATACAAGAACTCACTAATAAAATAGGGGCATGCAGAAATGTGGCATGTTCCAGCTCCATACCCACTTCAGGATATTTTACTGCTACAAATGTATTTTTTACTTGTCCTAACTTTTCCAACAATTGTTAATAACCAGCATGCCAAGCCTACAGGCCAACTTAGATTTCATTGTTTGGGTGTAATATATATGTATTTAGGATTACTTACAAGTTTCAAAGTTCCTATAAGCCAGTGATTGTTTGCTCTTATGCATTAATGTGCTGTCAGGAATGAACAACCAGACCCATATGTGTAAAGTTCAAGCTGACTACTTTACTATGTTTTGCCTATAATACAGGAATCTGTCCAGTCTGGCAGTCTACTCCTGGGAACAAGTAGATAAGGTTTCCAGGAACTTGGAGGAGAGAGGGGGGTCGGCCTTAGCCTTTCTGTAGTTGTGTATGACTCCAGGTTAGCTCTACCTTTGAACCCTCCTCCCTGCCAGGTTGCATGTTTCCCAACACGTGCTGACAATTCAAAATATAAATTTCAGCTCATAGCTACATTACTTACCTTCCTCTCCATGAATGCTTTGTTGTATAAAAGCAGGCCAAGTCTTTATTTTCCCTAATTATGTTCATTTTATGCTACAACCTGTAACAAAAAAACCTTAGTATTAAAAAAATATTAGCTTCAATAATTTCTGCTTTAGTAATTTAATATTTAATAAATGTTAAATACTAATTTGAAACTAAGCAGAACTCATTGTGCTTATAAAAGGGATGTTTATATTCTTTTTTAAAAATAATTGGCCAAATCATATTTTCAATTTCCCAATATCTTTTTGTTACCAATCATGACTTGGGTTTATAAACCTCAGTTATGACTTGTTTTCTAAATTTAGTTAAATTTCATATTACATGAGATTACAGCACTTCATGTTATAAAATGTAGAGATAGTAAAAGGAATATATAAACTGAAGTGCTATAATCTCATGTAATTTTCTGCATATTTTCTTTATTTACTTTTGGTTTTATACCATAATTTATACCAATACCTATAATTTAAATCACTACAAACATAAAATATGCCAAATAATAAAAGCCAATTTTTTAAAAGTCCCAAGTGCAAATATTAAGTAACTGCAAATTAAAACAAGGATGACATTTCTCTAATACCCTGTGGAATGTTTTAGTTAACAGAATACCAATAATGAAGATGCTAGCTTGATTTTGAGAAAGAGCCATTCTGAACTATGATAGATGCAACTGAAAAGTAATATCTGTGGGCCCACTCACTTCACGGATCTGGGGATCATCAAAAAATTTGAGGAAGGTTAGATGGGTTATTTCATATGGAGATAGTTTAGGTAGATATGCACCTACAGTATTTATTTATTTTATTTTTTATTTTTATTAGATTTCTATACCGCCCTACTCCCGAAGGACTCAGGGCGGTGCACAGCCAAACAATAAAAACACATACAATACAAAATTTAAAAATAGAATAAAATCAAATTAAATAATTTTGGCCCCGACAAATTTAAAACCCCAAACTTTTAAAACCAATTTAAAATTGAATATATAAAATACAAAAGATATTTAAAATTTTAAAAAATCTTTTATAAAAGAGGGGGAAAATTAGGCCAGGCCGGCCTGGTGAAATAGTAAGGTCTTTAAGGCGTGGCGGAAGGTGCACAGATCCGGGATCCTCCGTATCTCTGGGGGGAGCTCGTTCCAGATAGTAGGTGCCCCCACAGAGAAGGCTCTCCCCCTGGGGGCCGCCAGTCGGCATTGTTTGGCTGACGGCACCCGGAGGAGCCCCTCTCTATGGGAGCATACCGGCCGGTGGGAGGCTATTGGTGGTAGTAGGCGGTCCCGCAAGTACCCGGGTCCTAAGCCATGGAGCGCTTTAAAGGTGGTAACCAGAACCTTGAAGCGCACCCGGAAGACCACCGGGAGCCAGTGCAGCTCGCGCAGGAGTGGTGTTACATGGGAACGCCATGTCGCTCCCATTACCACCCGCGCGGCCGCACTCTGCGCCAGTTGGAGCCTCCGGGTGCTCCTCAAGGGGAGCCCCATGTAGAGAATATAGTAGCTAGTATGAAGGTTTCATTATTTAAAACTAGTGTTTTAAGTTATACCTAAAAATCTACTGGCAACCAAATTCTAACACCTACCTGTAGGTGTTATGCAATTATGGCAATTTTGATTTACCCAACAGGTAGACCAGTGCATTTCAAACTTATTGCCATTTTTAGATGACTTCAAAAGCAAATTCTTTCAGAAGGGGGGGATTAAGGTCCTGTGCCACTATTGCTGAAACATGCAATATTTTTATTTATTTATTTATTTATTTTTATTTTATTTTATTTTTGAATTTGTATACCACCCTTCTCCCTAAGGACTCGGGGAAGTGTACAGCCACATAAAAACATAAGAGTACAAATATTAAAATACCATTAAAAGATATATATAAATTTGGCCCCATAATTAAAAATAGTAACAAACCAATTAAAACATTTAAAAAGTGTTGTTTATTGATGTGATAGAATATGTTTATGAAGGGAGAGATGATGTGATGGATGCAAAATGTAATGCAGCATTTTTCCAGGAAGAAGGGAGCACATTTCAAGGCGAATGAAGCAAGAGATAGAGCATTCTAGAACTCTATCTCTTGCTCCTTTTCTGTGGGAAAAGGAAGAGACTTAGAATAGATACTTCCTATAATTTCCCAGGATATATTTGTTAGGTTAGACCTGCAATATAGGTTTCATCTGGTAAGATTCTGTAGATCTGGTGTGATATAAATAAAGAACTGAACTTTTGCTGGACTATTTCACATTGTTCTTAGGCTCACCCTGACAATTAGGAGGCAATTAAACAAATAAATTCAGAACTGACTGCCTCAGGGACAAGTAACTTGCTCCATTTTGTCACCTTACTTTGGTAATTATGAACATGAAATCTGTAATTTTGTAAATACATAAAATTTCAACCCCAAACATCTATATTCTCTACAAATAAAATAAAGTTTCAGTCTCAAATAATATAGTCTATCCAACTTTATACAATTAAATCATATTTATTTACAAACATGTCTGGCCAGATTCTCAGATGAGCTTAAGAAAGATATTATGATATAGAATGATATTAGAATAGAAAGCAAGACATTTATTTAATTATTTTAAACAGATTTTAGATTTTGTATGTTTTGTATGTATGTCTTGTTTTTACTTTGGCTGTTCACCGCCCTGAGTCCTACATTGGAGAAGGGCGGTATAGAAATTTAAACAAATAAATAAATAAACAAATAAATTTAATTTAATTAATTTAATTTAATTAATTTAATAATTTAATTTAATTTAATTTAATTTAATTTAATTTAATTTAATTTAATTTAATTTAATTTAATTTAATTATTTAATTTAATTTAATTTAATTTAATTTAATTTAATTTAATTTAATTTAATTTAATTTAATTTAATTTAATTTAATTTAATTAATATTAAAAAACAGTTAAAAATATATATAAATTTTGGCCCGAAAGTTAAGAAATCACAGACTGATTAAAAGAATTTAAAAATTTCTTAAGCCAACCCGGCTTGCTGGAAAAGATGGGTTTTAAGGGAATGACGGAAGGCATTGAGGTCATGGATTCTCCTTATCTCAGGGGGCAACTGATTCCAGAGGGTAGGAGCCCCCACAGAGAAGGCCCTCCCCCTGGGGGTCACCAGCCTACATTGTTTGGCTGATGGCACCCCGAGGAGGCCCTCTCTGTGGGAGCGCACGGGTCGATGGGAGGTTATCGGTAGCAGCAGGCGGTCTCGCAGATAGCTAGGCCCTATGCCATGGAGCACTTTAAAGGTGATAACCAACACCTTGAAGCGCACCCGGAAGACCACCGGGAGCCAGTGCAGCTCGCGCAGGAGTGGTGTTACATGGGAGCGCCATGTTGCTCCCATCACTACCCGTGCTGCTGCATTCTGGACCAGTTGGAGCCTCTGGGTGCTCTTCAAGGGGAGCCCCATGTAGAGAGCATTGCAGTAGTCAAGGCGAGAGGTGACGAGGGCATGAGTGACTGTGCACAAGGAATCCCGATCGAGAAAGGGCCGCAACTGGCGAATCAGGCAAACCTGACAGAAGGTCCCCCTGGTAACAGCCGTCAGATGTTCCTCCAAAGACAGCTGCCTATCCACGAGGACTCCCAGATTGCGAGCCCTTTCAGTGGGGGCCAAAGACTCGCCTCCAATAGTCAGTGATGGAGTCAACTGACTATATCGGGATGCCGGGAGCCACAGCCATTCAGTCTTGGAAGGATTGAGCTTAAGCTTGTTCCTCCCCATCCAGATCCGCACAGCCTCCAGGCACTGGGACATCACTTCAAGGGCATCGTTGGGGTGGCCTGGGGTGGAGATGTACAGCTGGGTGTCATCAGCGTACTGATGGTATCTCACCCCAAAGCCACGGATGATCTCACCCAGCGGCTTCACATAAATGTTGAACAGAAGGGGCGAGAGGACCGATCCCTGCGGCACTCCACAGATGAGAGGCCTCAAGGTCGACCTCTGCCCCCCTGCCAACACAAACTGCGACCGGTCGGAGAGAAAGGAGGAGAACCACCGCAACACAGAGCCTCCCACCCCCAACTCTTCCAGCCGGTGCAGCATGATACCATGGTCGATGGTATCAAAAGCCGCTGAGAGATCTAACAGGACCAGAACAGAACAACCCCTGTCCCGAGCCCTCCAGAAATCATCAACCAACGCGACCAATGCCGTTTCCGTGCTGTGCCCAGACCTGAAACCTGACTGGAACGGATCTAGATAAGATGTTTCCTCCAGAAATTGTGGAAACTGTCGCGCGACCACACTCTCAACAACCTTCGCAATAAAGCGAAAGGTTGGAGACAGGATGATAATTAGCCAATACTGCCGGATCCAGGGACAGTTTCTTGAGGAGAGGCCTCACCACCGCCTCTTTCAGGGCAGCGGGGAAGTGACCCTCACTCAATGAAGCATTAATAACGCCCTGGAGCCAGCCTCGTGTAACCTCCCGGGAAGCCAGTACCAACCAGGAGGGACACGGGTCCAGTAAACATGTGGCCGCACTAAGTCTCCCCAAAATCCTGTCCACATCATCGGGAGTCACAGCATCAAACTCCTCCCAGATAACATTCTCAAGACTGTTCCTCGTCACCCTGCCCTGATCTACCCAGTCAGAGTCCAAATCCCCCCGGATCTGAGTGATTTTGTCATACAGGTATTGTCCGAAATCCTCCTCCCTGCCTTCTAAGGGATCCTCCCGCACTCCTGGATGGAGCAGGGAGCGGGTCACCCTAAACAGGGCGGCCGGATGATTCCCTGATGACGCAATAGAGGCGGAAAAGTAGTTAGACTTTGCCGTCTTTATCGCCACTAGGTAGGCCTTAATATGCGACCTTACCAGTGTTCAATCAGATTCAGCGAGACTGGCCCTCCAACCGCTCTCCAGGCGTCTTTTCTGGCGCTTCATTTCCCTCAGCTCCTCAGTAAACCAAGGAGCTTCAGGGGATCGGCACCGGGTCAGAGGCCGCAAAGGCACAACTCGGTCCAGGGCCCCACCAGCCGCCCGATCCAGGCGGCTACCAGGTCCTCAGCCGAGTCATGTGCTAG